GAAACATTGCGCTCAGTCGGAGAACTGCAACACAGGAACTGCCGCCCACTTTAAGGACAGAAACACCCATAAAACCCCCGCTGCCCCCCTCTTTTTTCGTTGCAGAGCTGGTAAGAACCGGGCGATTTCTGCCGATTTTCCCGGTTTTTACCCGCTCCGCAACGAAAAATGAGGGGGGCAGCGGGGGTGTTTTGGATGTTTCCGTACTTTAAGGGGGTGGCAGTCCTTGTATTTCAATGCTCCGACTGATCGCAACGTTTCAAGGGTCCTCCTCAAGTTGGACATTAGTTTCGGGCATTATTTGTAGTGAATTTCCCGGTTTTTACCCGCTCTGCAACCAAAAATGAGGGGGGGCAGGGGGCTAAAAGTTTTGAAAACTCACTTTGAAGTCGCAGGCTGCGTTTGCGTTAACATTGGCAAGAAGTTCCACTCGGATTTGATGCTAAGTTTGAAGCTCTTCTGTGACTTTTCGCATTTTAATGCAATGTTTCATTGTAACAGGCCCATCCCCCCCCTACGGGGGGGCTGTGGTGGCCCGGGGGCAATATGAAGACTTCGGTATCAGACTTGGAGTATTCGAGGACTCTTTGAAAAGAGAAACGGTATGTCCAAGAGCCGCCGAAGCTACTCTAAAAAATGAAGGTACGGACCCCCTAAATAACCTTTGGACCCCCCTAACTTTTGACAGGGGGGTCAGATCGACTTCCGGTTTGCGCCAAAAATTTTCTTTTTTCATGCTCTTTCTAACGATGTATCACATGATGGGGGTTGCCATTTGAAATTTTTGAGTTCCCCCCCCCTCCCCCTGGGGGGGTGAAGAACTGAAAAGTACCTCAAAAAGTTTCCCCCTCGATATGAGGAAGGACGCCACAAACCGCAAATCGATATCATAATTAGAACTAAAGTTATGGCCAGTGGTGCGTAACTTTTGAATAACCCTGTATATTAAGTATTTTTAAAAAGAAATAAGAAGTTGCACGATTTTTAAAACACTGCAATCGCAGTGGTTCCTTTTTGCTAAATGCAATCCAATTAGAAACAAGGTATGTGCCATAAGTTTTCCTATGAACCGCCGACGTGCACTGGAAAAGAAAACACATTGGATCTAGAGTCCAGACTCTTGAAAACTTTGACAAGAAATAGTACTCTTGATTCAATCGGATTTTTGCTTGAATCAAAACCAAATCCGCTTAAATTAAGAAGCTTGGTTCTTGATTTAAGCTAGATTCTGATTGAATCAAGAGTACTTTTTCTTGTCGATGTTTTTAAGAGTCTGAACTCTAGATCCAATGTGTTTTTTTTTCCAATGTGTCTTCACAATTGAACCAGAAATTGTAGTTCTTAATTGCAAAATATAATCCAATCACAGTGTCATGTGTAAAGAGTCCCCTACCTGAATGAACCGCCCAGCCCATAGGCCTCCGCCTTTCCTCCCTCCCTTCCTGCCATACTCTTTTATTAATTACACCGGGCTTTAATCGGAGTCATTCTCGATAACTTGAATTCAACTTTTCCGCGACTCGACTCGACGAAAATCCCCCGCCCGGCGGCCTGAGTGTTTTCAACTGGCTGCCTCCGCCTCCACCCGCTAGAAATTCACGCAACTTTCAGCTATATTTCAGTAACGCCTCCTGAACCCCCCGCCCCTTTGCGCCCTTTAGCGGCGGAGATGCCGAAATTGATGACTTTTTAGCAGGTCATAATTTTAAAAGAGCTTGAACCTCCCTGACTCAGTGACGCGTCGTTGCGTTACCGTTTAATTTTTTTGGTGAAAAGCCTTCCCTTGGAATGCAGCCGGATATTGCGTGCCACGGGGGAGCGATAACGTCGCGCCTGGGGAGAAGGGTTGAAAGCATACATTTACGCGTGTTTACCACTTGAGGTAAGACTTGGAACGTAGGATGTTTGCTTGCATTTACGTATGATCAGACTTTATGCCGCAATCACACGCTGAATGTGGCTTGAATGTAGAAGTCATCGGCCCGATGTCTGAATTTTGCGCGTGACGCGCAAAAGTCAGCAACGATTCTCAGCACCTAACCTAACCTAACCTAACCTAACTTAGGTTAGCAAATAAATAAATAAACAATATCTAATTAAATTATTTTATTTAGCTTATTTTACAAAGCAGCCATCGGACCAATTTTGAATTTGTTTGAACTATTCGAGTAGATTTGATACACATCTGGATGAAAATAACTCGAATTTGCTAAATTTCAGCCGTTGGGCGATGCCTGTTGACTTCCACATTCAGCTGTTAAATTACTCGTGTGATTGCGGCAATAGCTGATATGAGTATCATCCTCGAAAAATACATATTTTTCTCCTGACCGCTCCGCGGCCCAACCCCTTGGAGCGCGCTTCGCGCCTTAGGCGATACGTATTACACGTATAACTCTAAAGACTTCATATTATGGAGTATGATAAGTACATGGTATATATGTTGTTTTCAAAGTGCTCCCGGGCGCTCTGGAATGCTTACTTGCCACTCCTGTCTTTCTAAACAGAGGTTGTTGGAAAAATTTCGTCTCGTCATTTCAGCTTGAACGTCAAAATAACTTTCACACTCGCTCAGGACATTTACAGTTCGAATAGGTGTAACGTTCACTGACAAAAAAAAAGAATCTTAAATTTGCCATCAAGAAGTATTTCTTCTTAAATCAAGAATTTTGCTGGTTAATATAAACTACTTTTTTGCTTAACCCAAGCATCATTTTTCTTGTATCAAGAAAAATTCAACTTAAAGCAAGATAAAGAAAAAATTCTTGGCGGCAAATTCAAGAATCATCATGCTTGAGCCAAGCTACCTTTTTTTTCAGTGTTGTCCTTGATTGAAACACTGAAGGGGAGGGTGGGGTCGTTTATCAATAATCCGTGTATCCCACTTTCCCTGGTTTTATTATTTTTTATATACAAGAATATTAGTGATCTCTGTCATATATGGCAACAGGGATAGAATGACAACAAGCAATAAACCTGGATTTGCAGCGAAGATTGCCTCAGCAATGGATTTTAGGCCGGCCTGATTCAGTAGTTGATGTACTTTGCAACATTAATTAAGTGAAGCTTATTTGAGTGTGGACATGTTTGTTAAGGGCCCGGTGCGGTGAGGGGAGCGGGGGGATGGGAAGGATTCGAGTGCCGCCATAATACCTTCCGTAAATAGCGGTTACATATCAGTCGATGTGAATTGTGGATCAATAAACATGACAATATCAATACGATCGGGCTAGGGTAACCTCGAACTCCAGTGCTTATTGCTTTGCTTCTCGCTCCTAGAGTGGGTACTCCAGATCCTCACTTCTTATGGCAGGTAACCCAATGCGACGCCATCTTGTCATACGACTGAAGGTTTGAGGTTATGTTTCCTTGTTATCATATTCATGTGCCATGTGTTGAAGTTTTGTTGAAGTGTTCGTTTAAATTTTATCTAGTCATGTAATAACTGTTTCTGAATTATTTTTTTAATCTATAAGTACCATGCCTGCTACGTGCTGCGCAGTGCAATGCTCGCACAATGCCAAGAATTGCAAATTAAAAAGATTTCCTGTAAATGAGGTGAGAGCGAAAGTGTGGGAACAAATGCTTCGGAGGAAAAATTTCACGCGGAAAAGTTTCCATCGCATTTGTGCCGTAAGTATGCTTAATATTTCCTTTTCATACTCTGCCTCTGTTTAATCCAGACAATCGAACTGCAACTGGTTTTATCTCTGAGCCATCACAAGCATTCGTGAACTCGATTCGGAATCAGATTATCAGTACATGATTGTAATTTTGCGTCTGATGCATACTATTGTAAGTTTATCAAATGTGCTTTCCATTGAGGAGAGTCTATGAATTTGTTGCTGTACTTCATGCACAGCCGATCACTTCATGTAATGTTATATTTACGCAATGCGAGCAAGAATCTCTAGTGTTGCCAGCTTTTGGCCAATCCTTTGCTACATTATAAAGAAAAGATTTCTTACATGGTTACTTCTCATTTCCAGTCAGGAACTCTTCATTTCAATGAATGTCTAGTAAAGTCCTTCCATTTTTGAATTCAATTTGTCTGAAAGAAGTTAAGATTAGAATATCTAATTTGCTCCTCTCCATGTATAAAAAATTTGGCTGTCTATTGACGCTCTCCCTGTTCGCTATACATTGTATATCTCTCCTGGGGGCATTTAGCTGTCGCAAGATGTTCTTAGACTGTCCCTGCATTTGGGGTAAATGTTTGCTTTGTTTATTTCTATGAGTGACATTTTTCCTTTCTTACTCTTTCACAGTGCCACTTCCCTAAAAGCCAGTATGATGATATCAATGAAAGTCGGTTGCGGCCAGATGCTGTTCCTCTTGTGTTCCCCACTCACACGATAAATCAATGTGAATCTTTGGATGAGCCAACCTTGGTGAGTATTTTTAATCTCATGGTTTAATTGACCATTTCTTCACAGATAAGCATTTTTCCATGATTTTCCCCCCGTCTAACTTATTACTTATTAATGATCCAGGTCCAATTTTATGTTGAAGGAATAGGTAAATTTGCGATAAGTTAAAGTGATTGAGTGAGCTGTTGCTACTAGCTGTAAAGAAAAGAACCTCATATCTCTCTAGTAGACAACGTCAGGGGTTCTGTATCAGAAATTCATGAAAAATGAAAATTGTTATGTTTCTTCTATTGCTTTGCAGGATAAGTATCTAGTCAAAGAGACAAGGGAAGTGCAGCATGAGGAAATCGGTGAAGCAGAGCTATGTTCTATATTGACGGCAATCAATGAAGAAGTACAAGTGAGTGGTGGCGAACAACAAGCGCTAGTTCTTGATATTAATTCCATCGTAAGTCTACCATCATAATAATTTTAAAGTAAACGAGTCAAATGAGCCCAAGTCAAGAAATGGTGGTGGTCCGTGTGAGAAAAAATTTCTTCACATGACGATGCCCCGTAACTGATTAAGTAAGCCTGTGCCAAACAATGATTGAATATTGATAGAACTGCACTACCAGTGTATGTACAAGTTAAATTTATCTGCCTCATCAGTATTCTTGTGGTTGTCGAAATTTATGCTACGTAACATGAGTAGCCGTGCAGACTCAAAGAGGAGTTGTTGCATCAATTATCATTACTATTAGCTGTCTGACCCCTCAAATCTTTATTTCTTGTCCCAGTTCGTTCTTGTATCTACTGGGCCTTTAGTTTGTCTATTTTCATGATTCTTGTTGCTATCAACAGATATTGACTGTAGCTGAGCCCGCTGTTCTTCAGTTTATGCTTTTCACCCATGAGTGTCCAGCGCGAAGCACCCTCGGAGGTTGGGCCGCATAGCAGCGAGGAGCAGAGCCCCCTAGTAAATATATATTGTGGGTACATAGAGCCGTATGTGTGACGAAACTATATCTGTCAATCATTTTTCCCTCTTTGTTGCAGGAAGAATGTTTTGAAGCCGAAGCAGGTATGGTTTTGGATGATGTAAATGAAGAGGTGATTTTTAATTATGGTACTGAAGATACGATTTTTGATGATGAAACTGAAGAGATGATTGTTGATAATGGTGCTGAAGAGATAATTGTTGATGATGGTGCTGAAGAGATAATTGTTGATAATGGAACTGAACAGATAATTGTTGATAATGCTACTGAAGAAACCTCCAGTCCTGACGGGGCAATTCGTGTTTCTGTTGGTCCTGAACACATGAATGTCTGTGTAAGTATTTCCTTATTTGGTAAAATCCTACAATACCTAATAGTTTCTTTATTGCAGTAAAATTAATGAACGTCTGATGTACCAAAATGCAAAGCTCATTTTTGAAATTTTATGAAAATTGAATGGCTAATTTGAAAAAACACACATGTCCATCTTGACCGAAAACTTGACTACGGTCTTGTCCATGTCTCTTACCACAAAGATTGTGCAATTTGTCGAATCCTGTACACCACTGAAAATTCTTTTAATTTTTCACAAATTTCACCGACATTACCATAAACAAAAGAAGTAAACTCTAGGCAGAAAAAGAGGGTAAAAAAGAATAAGGTAGAGAAACAGACAGAAAAGTGCACAATTTGAGCAATGCCAGATGGATATGTGTTCTCTTTCAAATTTGCCATTCAAGTTACCCCTACATGGAGCTGAAAGTTCCACTTACTTTAACAAGATTTCACCTGTGGGGGGGGGGGGGGGTGTTTCAGAGTAAATCCCTGTCATTTGGGTCGAAGAACTTAGCGAAACTAGGAAAAATTTAATCTGACAAGCTCGATTGATGAGAAAATTAGGACCTTGCATCTTTGAATGTCATGTCTCTCTTTTGTTCTATAGTGACCAAGTGTATTGGAACGTCCGAGAAGCTTATCGTAAGTGATGTAATATGGCGAAAATTTCAAGTCATCTTAAGTCAGTAAATTTTAACATTATGTTGTTGCTCCAGAATAATACTTAGTGTGTTTTTGGTTTCTTGACAGGCATCGGCGGATCATTTAAATGGGCTTACCGTAGACCAACTGAGTGAAAGAATTGAGCAACTTGAGAGGGAAAAAAGTACGGTCACCAGAGAAAATTACCGGCTGAAGACAGAAATAACTAGATTAAAGGCGACAACCAGCAACTTTAATCAGGATGAAATTCAACGGTTAGCAGGGAAAAAGGTCTCAAAGTGGTCAAAGGAGACGGTGAAAAAATGCTTGCAGGTCCGTTTTGCATGTGGTAAGACTGGCTACGAATTTTTAAGGAGCCAAGGTTATCCATTAATGGCCTACTCAACTCTGTGTGAGCGGGTTCAAAAGCTCCCTTTAAAATGTGGAATCTCAAGCAAAATAATTTTTTTGCTAAAGCAAAAAGCAGCTACAATGAAGAAATCTGAAAGGCAATGCTTTCTTTCCATAGATGAAATGGAAATAACAGAGAGGATAGATTACGACCAAGGGCAGAAGGAAAATATAGGCTACGCAACCCTTGGAGACAAAAGTAAAGTTGCCTGCAAATTGTTGCTTCTTGTAGCGCGTGGGATCACAACGAAGTGGAAGCAAGTTATTGGCTGGCATCTTACAACTGCAGCTGCTCCGCCCCCCTCTGAGGTTTGGAATTTTGTCTTGGAAGGAATTAAATCCATCGAGGGAGCAGACTACTATGCGCATGGTCAAGTTAATGATATGGGCTCTTCAAATCGTGCTGTTTGGAAAGAGGCGGGAATAATAACTGCAGGCAGGAGGAAGGAGAAGAAAATCGGGAAAAAAAAGAAAAGAGACAAAGCTAACCAGGAGACAAGCAGCAAAGGATCTGAACAACAACAGCAGTCAAATAACCAAGAAAACCAAACCAGAAAACCGGAAAACCAAAAAAATGGAAAGTATGTCTCAGAGAAATTTTCTATCCCGCACCCAACAAGGCCTAATGATGAGTTCTATTTTTTTGCGGATGCTGCACACTTGTTGAAGAATTTAAAAACAGGCTTCTTGAAACATGATTTTAACCTACCTCCTGAGTTACTGAGGAAATTCAATTTACCAAATGCCCCTGTCTCCCACAAGTGGCTTTATGAATTTATTGATGTCCGGAGTGAGGAAGAGTCAGTGTTTCAATTAGCCCCTTACCTGACAACCGACTTATTATCGCCTTCACATTATGAAAAAATGAGGGTAGGCTTAGCCACCTCAATTTTCTCGCTTGAAGTAGCTGCTGCCCTAGAAACCGCTGTCATCCGCAACCTCATCTCTGAAGAGGCAAGGACAACCATCTGGTTCATTAAAAAAATCAGTGAATGGTATGGCATCATGTCATCAAGGAGGTTCCAAGATTCCATCAACAGGAAGAACTTTCCCCATAAGAAGCGAATAATCAGCCATGTCAGTGACATTTTTCGAGGCCTGAGAACTTCCGATAATAAATGGAAACCGTTTCAAGCTGGCATAATTTTAACCAACTTCAGTTTCCTCTCTTTAAGCGAGAAATTACTCTTTACAAGACAAATAGATTGCTTCTTAGGCTCAAGGACCTTGCAAGATGGAGTTGAGAATATTTTCTCTGTTATTCGGTGTAAAGGTTCTATATGTCCATCTGCCTTACAAGCTCTCAGGGCAGTTAGACTTTTGTGCTTTTCGCAATTCACAAAAGATGTTAAAAAGTCAAATTATGCAAATGATGGAGACAAACACCATCTGGACATTTTAAAGTCACCTATTAAACGAAATAAACAGGCCCTGAAGAGACGATCATTATTAGATGATGATTTGAAAGCTAAGCGAGCTAAAGTTCCGGGAGAAGTAAAATCTGGAGATGAAGAAAAGAAGAGCAAGAAACAACTGCAGTTTCAAGGAACAGTGAATATTGCCAGTGACAGTAACAAGGAAACCACAAATGAAGAAGAAGTAATTTACAAGGAGCTGTCAAAAGAGTTGAATTTTCCTGTTCACCCACCATCAGAAACTTTGGAGCCCTTGGAGGAACAGGCTCTATCTGATGCTGTTGGACA